TCCTCTAAACTAAATTAAAATAGTTTTAAAAAAAAATCTTAAAGCCAGCCCTTATCATTTATATACTTATCAAGCTTTTCCTTAAACTCACTTAAGTTTACTGCCTCTACAAGATCAGAAGACAATCCTTTCCAAAGACCAATGACTCTGTTAGAAAAATGAAACTGTCTTAACTGAAGATGACTCCTACCTTGCCAAAATTTATATTTATGTCCCCTAGTCCTACTATTCTCACTGTTAAATATGAAAAAAAAATGATGCATCAACACTATCAATTTCCTTTACAGTCTTATTAAACACCTCAATCAGATCCCCCTTAACTCTTCTGTTTTTTTAAAAAAAAAAACAATTTGAGAGATTTCAGCCTCTCCTTGTATGACAATGCCTTCATCCCAGGCACCATTCTAGTAACCCTTCTCTAAACCATTTTCAACAATTCAATGTCTTTCCTAATGTAAGGAGCCCAAGACTGAACACATTACTTCAAGTGTGGCCTAGCCAGTGACTTATATAATGAAATAATAACCTCTTTGGACTTGTATTCAGTATTTCTGTAGATACAACCTAAAATCCTATTTGCCTTACCACGAACACCAGCACACTGCTTGGATGGCTTTAGAGACTGATTGACTATTACACAAAGATCTCTTTCCTTCATAACACTATTAAGGTTATTCCCATCCAAATTATACTTATAATTCAAATTATGATAACCTACATGCATTATCTTGCATTTATTATAATTAGAACCCATCTGCCATTTATTTGCCCAATTCACTAAATGATCTAAATCCTTTTGTAAATCAGCAGCATCCTCTTCACAGCTAGTAACACCCAAGACCTTAATATCATCTGCAAATTTAAGTAATTTATTGACTATTTCTTCATCTATGTCATTGATGTAAATCAAAAAGAACAAAGGTCCTAAGACTGATCCCTGAGGTACCCCACTTGTGACATTAATCCAGTTTGTAACAACCCTCTGCTTTCTTGCATTCAGCCACTCTTCCATCCAATTTGCTAACTTATCCCCCACACCTATAGAGCTTTTAGCATAACCAATCCTTACTAAATACAACA